ATCAGACATACCGCATGTTGTTGTCGCAGTGGACTCATGACTCATTTCCACTGGTGACCGATTAGGGAAGGCTCTGCTTTTGCCGTCCCAGAATGGATTTTCCCCAGATGGTCAGGCGTGCTTCCCGCTCATGGTCGGCCGGACCATAAGGTTTCCATCAAAACTTCATTCTGCAGCAGTCCTTGCCATACTGATGGCGTGTGCTGGTGCATCGGCTGCGCTCAGGTATCTGCTACAATACCCTGGTAGCAACGTGCGGAGGCACTCCCAATTTAGGGTGCAAGGGGCGCTCATCAAAAATGACCGCAGGCCCAGTATGAGGTTGAAGTTCATAGCTCGTTTCGTCTTTGCCGTTGCGATTGGACCACTAGCTCAGTACCCTATCAGTAGCAGAGACTGAGTCAAACACAGCGCTGATCTTCTCTGTTGTCCTCCTTGCTACAGAGTTCATTTGAGGATCGTAAAGCATAGTCACTGACCTATTTTTATTCCTAGTTGATTAACCCGTTAAGGGCTTGCGCTTCCGAAACCAAGGCTCTTGAAGCATACTTCAACATACTAACGTATTTCGCAATGAAACGGTCTTAGACGGAAGAAATTTGAAATTGAATAGAAATGCGACAGGAATTATGAGACAACCCAATAATTACTGGCTATTCCTAAAAACATCTAGACTGAAACTTTTTTACATGCTAGGTCCCTAGAAGCCAATTTGCCCAATTCATTGCACTTTATCGCAATTTCGTTTAGTTTGAGAGCAGCGAGTTTCCATGAAGGAAGGGATTGATCAATGTTGAATATTCGGTAAGACAAGCTGACTTGAAACGGGTTAAAGCTCCGAAGAACAGTCGAAATTCCGGGAGCGACTATGAAACTCAATCCGAAGTTCCACGTGCGATAAACATTTGTAAAATCGACCCCCTCCCCTTTCATAGCACCATTTTTCATTCCTTCCAGCAAAAAAAGTTCTGCTCCATTTCACACCTTTTTTGACCACATTTGGCAAAAGGGAACGGTATTTCCCGGCCAACTAATCATAGCAGGGCCTTATTCATTGATAATAGCCTCTCGCCAATTGGTGACCGCGTGGGTGGTGATCTTTCAGCTGCCACGAGTTCCATCAGTGCTAATCGTCAAGCGGGGAGTGGGTGTTGTGGGAGTAAGAAAGGCGACAGTAGCGCCTTTCATCCAAAACGTGCAAATACACAGCGCACCACCCACCACTTCCTCAATTCGCCATTGACCTGTCGTGCTGAAACGTGGTACTTGCAGAAACGCACTGTCCCCTTCATTGTTTGCCCACCAGTATCATCGCGCATTCCGTTGTGTTCTCATAAGCGCTCATCGTTCCCCATCGATGTCTCCGCTCGGAGGGATACCAATGAGGCGTTAGTTGACACTTCAGAGGCGAGAAAGCGCGCTTACCATTCGTGAAATAAAATAGAGCACCAAAACCCACTTTTGGCACGAACACCTCCCATGTGTCCGACGTGTGCTGCAACCAAGGTCAACCTCACGTCCGCATTTTTTCCGTCTGATCCCAGGGATTTGTACGTGAACCTTGGAGGATGATCTTTCGAAGGGTAAAAGAGGGACTACTGAATGCCTTGTTGAGTCGCATTCACGGAAATCGTCCTTGGGACTTTTGATCATAGGTCGATACGAAGAAAGCTTTATATCGAGAGTTCAGATAAACTTCGGACCAAAAACTTGTGTAGCCTCTCACATAGCTCCGAAGCTTGTAGAGAAAATTCGAAGCATTCCGAAAATACTCCACGGCTCAGTGTCAGCAAGCGGTTGCAGTCGCATCCTACACAAGGGATCATTCTCAACCTAATGTCTACGTCCTGATGAGCGGGATCTTCGAGGCTGAATTCTGCTTCACAGAGCGTTAGAGCCAAGTTGGCGCAGTGCGTTCAGCTCCCACCTTCTCCAAGTGTAGCGTTGATGCGGCGGCAGGATGAGCTGCTGATTGTCCAGACGGAACCACCCGTAAAAGACCACGAACGTACTGTTGGAAACTGTCCATCTTGCAGAAACGAGAGAGGCTCAAGCTCACAGCACATGATGAGAGTAAACTTGCACAGACATGCCTCCTCATATATTCTCAAGCCAAGATTGCACAAGAAATAGGCGCACTTTTAAAAATCGCAAGGACTTTCTCTGTAAGCTAATACTATCTTCCTACGATCAGAACTCCGCATAATGTTTTAATATTCTAAGGAAAATTCAGAAAACTAGCTCGAGTGCTTCAGAAATTATGGACCAACCTAAAACAAGCTAGCGAAATGACTGTATTACGGCTTCAACATACAAGGGAGGTCGTTCAGGGTGTGCCAAGCTTTTTCAAAATGGTTTCTTGCATGACATTGGGGCACATATGGGGACCACAGAAGCATGGTCATTTTTCCTGAACGGCCCTCTGAATACCAGAAAAGGGGTCCCTAGTTCGATTCCTCGCGGTGACAAATTTTTGCATTTCGAGTTGACGTTTCGAAATTCGCGCGCTTAAGGAATTAGCATGAATAATTAGTACCATATTCATGATTTAGGACCGTCAGTAACCCTACAAGTAGACTTTGATTGAAAAACTTGGTGAAAAAGGTGTGACTAGGGACCCCCTTTTCTGGTATTCAGAGGGCCGTTCAGGAAAAATTAACCATGGTTCTGTGGTTCCCGCATGTGCCCCTATATCATGCAAAAGACCGTTTTGAAAAAGCTTGGCACACCCTGAAAGACCTTCCTTGTTAGCGGAAAAGATGACATTGTATGATAGCTTGATCTCATCCTACACCTCCTGCTACATGAGTCAAAAGGTCTGCCTTAATTTAGCGTTCGAACTTACATTAGACTGCAGTTGATCCCAAGCATCAGTTACTTGTTGCATTTCTGCAGTACCGTAAAGCTCCTTCAATGACGTCAACATCTTCAAACGTAGTGGGATTTGGTTTGTGAGCTGAATGACGTGAGTTGCATCACTGAGAATAATTTAGACAGTGGGTAAAAGTACTCACCTGCGATCGAAACACCAATCCCATGATACCGCCTACGAATAGCATAATGAAGATGATGACAGAAGCCACAGCGGACTGAAAGAAAGGGATTATAATCAGGGTAGGTAATTCTGAAGGGTTAACTGCTCAGTCCAGGGTGAGCAAACGTCGAGGGTTCCTCGATGCAGGATGGAAGCGTTATCTTGCTATGCTAGTGAACGAAGGGACCATTTGGGCAGAAGATCTGGCAGTTAGATGTTCGGGAGGAGGGTGCGTGGGGCTGTTGTTAAGGGTCTCGAATTTTCAAAAATATCCATTTTCTCGAAGTCTTGTGTATTTAAGGGATTGAATGAGGTAGAACGTTGTGACGCGATTGATTCTGTCCGATCCAGTCGATTCGGTGGATGAGGGAAGAGGGATGGATTGCATCTGGGTGCCCAATTTCTTCAAACGTGGCTCGCTCAAAACAGCGTCGCTGTTTCACGAAGGCACAAAATTGTAGTCGCTCATTTTGCATGCCGATCACTGCTGTACTCACCATCTTACCAAGCTGCCCTTTCCCGTGAGCCACACCTTTGAGGAGCTTGATTCGCACAAGTGTGTGCGCTTTTTAGAGCACTTATACACGCGCGGATTGTCGCCCGGTAAGCTTCCATGCGTGTTTTCCCGGTGTGTAGTAAGGTCAAGCAGACTCATTGCTTCACCTTGATGATGCTTCCTCATGGGGTCTGTCAAACTGGCGAATTCTCAGGAAAAGTAAAATAATCGCTTCAAGTTAATCTAGTAGACAAAAGGAGTGCGGGGACTCTTGCAACAAATCTGCGTTTGCTCCGAAGAGTTGCCGCAGGATCAGACTAGTGCAATTTTGTGCATGAATATGAAAGAATTTATTTATCTATTTATTTATTTATTTATTTATTTATCACTAAGTTTCGGAAAGTATTGGTGCAAAGTGAGTCGGCGCGTGCGGAAAGAAGAAATAAAGAAATGCTCAAGGGCTCGCTCGTTCCTCTCAAAAGGCACTAGCGATAAGGCCGATGTCAGACTTTGCGAATCGCGCGATTCGCTAGCGTCCGCGGTCGCGTTGCGGTACCAGCCAATTGAGTGATTCACTGGCCGCGACGCGACCGCAGACGCTAGCGAATCGCGCGATTCGCAAAGTCTGACATCGGCCTAAGAGTCCGAAGATGGCTGATATAGGATAAGTGGGTTAACCCAACGGATGAGAGAGCGCAGACACCACTACGCGGCGGACGAAAAAATGGAAGCGGTGGATGTGGTCCTTGTGAGGCCCTAACGCACATTTTGCGCACATTGGATTGGAAACAGCGTCCGTTGTGCACATTTCACGAAAACCTGTACCTACCGACCGAAAACACCCCCTCTACCTTACTCACCAAAACGATGTAACTGAACCCATTCTCGGTTATCTCAGACCTCATAAAGCTGTTAACTCTGGAATCCGGGCCCAGCTGTGTTACTTAAACATTTATAGCGACTGACGCCGAGCGGTCACTTACTACTGCTTATGTCGTATATACTGGCGCGCCCTACCAACCTTTATTTTTTAAACGAAACGCAGCAAAAACACTCGGCGTTTTTTTTTCCTATTTTGCATGGTCGGTCGCTCAGCCAACGAGTGAATATAATTTGAAGACTTGAGAAAAAAAATTATGGAAACTCACGCAAACCCAAAATCTGAGCTCCTTCACAACGGAAAATATACAAATGAGCTGATTGACGATGGTGAGCACTTGAGACAACCAGGAGAATTCGGGCGACGTCCACGTACAGCGACGGAGCCAACAGCTCTGCATATTGCCCTCGTGTTGTCGCCAACCAGGCACCGTAGGCGATACAGGCAATGGAATACGCCTGAACAAAAATTCTGGGATATTCAAGGAAAAGGCATTCGTGTGCTCCAGAAGCGATATATCTTACAATTATCAACGCACTGCTGACAAAGAATAACATTCGAACAGTTCGTCCCACAGCCCCATAAGCTGACCACAACCCGAACGTGCCCATCTGAAACAGTGAGAAGTAATCAGAGAACGAACACTGAAACATATTATTGGCGGAAAGTAACAATCCACAGGAAATCAGCAAGGTGACATTCGCAAGCAAAAATTGGGAAAAATCCTTCACGAGGGAGCACACGGTATTCAACTTTATTAGCAATTCTTACACTCTATTTCGCGTAAGCGAAATTAATTTCAGTCCAAATAAAATATGCGGCATCAAGTAGCATCAAGTGCATCAAAAAGCACATGTGATATCGACGTTTTTGTGGTCATCGCCATATGCGGCACTGTGTCCGCAGTTGCAATCAGACCGACTACGAAGAAATACAGCAGAGGAGCAGTTCAAAGTTATTTTCCCTCGGCTTAAATTGCATTCAAACCTTTCAGCCCTGCTGGAGTCAACTACAAACGTCATTGTTCACTGTCTCTTTACCTATTCCGCATAAATTTCAGAAGTGAAGTTCAGAAACGAATTCTGAACGCAAGTCGTGCCGAGTGAAGCTCTTTCATAGAAGGACCACTGTTGAGCGCGTTAATGATGATTGTATTCCTTCTTAATGGAACCCGGAAAATTGCTCGGTATATACGCAAAAAAAACGCGAAGATATGGTCGAAAACGGGATATCTTATTGTTAGATGGAATCTGAATCAAAAGGACTGCTCTCTTTAACACATTCACGCCGATGGCCGCCCATATGGGCTGCCAACAACATGTGCTTCTGGGACGATGGCAGCCCATATGGGCTGCCAGCTGATAATCGCTTGCCAGGCGCTAGGAATGGACAGATAGGTGGGTAAATCTCGTAATCGAGTGAGAAATGCTTTTAAAATCCTTCACGGGGAAAGCGAATAAATGCTCTCTTTTCGTAACCACTATTCGTCGTTCTGATCGAAATACTACTATTATATGTTTAGATAATCTTTACACATTGAACATTGCTGAAATCATTTTGTGGCATTCATGTTTTTGTTCATTTACAGTACAAAATCTGCGGTGATGTGGTGAGGCGGCGGCGCCCACAAAATCGCGTCCGTCCCACGCGACCGAAAAGTGGAAAAGGGGCGTCGTCGTGAATGTGTTAAAACGGGTATGTTAGCTATGACGATGTCCTAGGCACATACCTAGTACAGTCATAGACGCATCATGTTACTCCCACAAGTCGGGGTCAAATCTGCGCTCATATTCCGCCAAGGTCTCGGCTTCCTTTCGAATAAGCCTTCCATCACGTTAGGGTTACTAAAGTGGCACCAGCTCGCGTGGGTGGTACACTAATACCGCTTTTTACATCGACTGGCCATTGAATTACAGCCATAGGCTACACTGCATTCACCTGAAAATATGAATCGTATGGACGGTAGAGATGTGTGTGGGCCAAAGAAAGGGTCTATCAGCGCCAAATCCTATATCCTTTGATCACTTCTTCCCTATTCTGAGCTCTCTCATCTTCAGAAGTTTCCTAACTATGGCATAACAGCATTAGCACATCTAACGGGATTAGCGGATTGGCTGCGTTCGTAAGTGAACCAGTTCTGCTCACACATTGCATGGTTCTGATAAAACATAAACTACCGCACCTAATCTAAGAACAGTGCGTAGTTCATTTGACTGTATCCAGCCTTAACAACAAAGAGGAAAATTTCATAGTATGCCACTAATTGCCCGTTCTCGGCATGCGGCCCGCCATTCGGCTTTCCAGTTATATAGCGAAACTGGAGATGGGTCTGAATGCAAGTCCAATCTCTTTCATTATCCAAGCCGTAGATGTGGAACATACCAGTTAACCAATCTGCCACTGGACCTAATTAGACACCTTCGAATTGTGAGGCCAATAAGAACATCTGTAGGACTCAGCCATAGCACGCTTGCTTGATCGGACAGATGTGTCTGCAAAAGATAGAGTGTTATCTGTAATTAGCGCCACACCTGATCGATTCGGCTGATTATTGGTGCTCGTGCTAAACGGAAGCCGTAGTAATTTGGCTCGAAGTTTATGGTTGAATAAGACATGAGGGGCATATTCAGCGCTATAAAGGGCGCAGCGAGTGCTTTTGCTGACGAACTAAGCGTTGGCCTTATCCCTCGGGACTGACTGTTTGGTCATGTTGACACCGGACATTGGCATCTGATTTAATCGTACTGATTGAGGGGGCATGGAACAGAACGGCTTCCGGAAGTGGAATGGTCTTCATTGATCTCTTTCCAGTTTTGGGAGGGTTTTTAATGGGCAGGCGTTACTCATTCGTGTCCCTTTTGTGGGTACAAGCGATCGTGTAGTAGTTGCAGCTGACAATTGAATACGTAGGTGTTCCTCTGTGAGCTAACTATGAAGCCAATAAGAGAGCGTGGGCGACAAAAGTTGTGAGCAAATTTTAGCGAAAAATTGATTTTTTCCCTGTAGTGTGCTTAACTTAGGCAATCCTACAGGTAACCTGAATAGGAATTTGTAAAAGCAGTTACTTGTTTACAGCCCTGACACTGAATGGCAAAATCTGGGACGGAGTGGACGCGTGACTACACGCCGGCAAACAATCAGGATATGATTCATCTGTTGCTTCAATTACTGAAAATTCTGAGGCATTGGCTAGTACAGATCGGGTGGAGGTATCTAAACCACACGCACTCGAGAAGGAACAGTGGAATCAGATTGCGGTTAAATTTTTCCTTTATTCGTGCCCACCCAAATTTTCCTGCTTTGTAGTGGAACCTGCGTGCCATTTAACACACGGAGTGACTTTTGCGAGTCAGGCTATGTAGAACGTTGGGGTTATCATCGGCGCAGACAAGTTTGGTACTATCAACCGTCTCTGTGGATTGGGACTTGTATTGCCTCTCATTTGATGGTTCACGTAATGAGCTACGGGAGGCGACCAGTACTTGCTAGTACACCACTTCTGCCTATTAGTTTCAATGAACGCTCAACTTTGAAAGACCCTTTTACTTGCATACACTCTCTGTCCCCTCTCCTTTGTCAACCTGAACAAAAATCGCAGCTCATGTTTTTCCATTTCTGAATCAACATACATGATCACGAATCAGTTGCATTTACATATCCCCTAACATCAGTTCACACAATTTTTTGAGTGGTATGAACGCGTGGCGCATTCTGGAGCACCAGTACATCGCGTCATTGTGCTTTAGGTTGACGGCTGCTAACCTTGCATAGATTCTCTGGGGTATGCTATCCCATCTCCTTTATGAAACAGTGCAACAGATGAGTGACCCTAATACCTTTGAAGGAAGCGATTACGATAAAGAGAAGTGCATCGTGTAAGTACAATTTATGCGTTACACGAAGCAGTAGCATGGCTGCAATCGTATAAGATGTAGTGCTTCCTGAAGGAAAGTACTACGCTTGGCTACTGATCTGAGCACTGCTTGAAAATCCCACTCCTCTAGGCGATCATCCATCTTGTTTAGCTTGGTGGTCTTGGACAAGCTGTGTTGTATCAGCCAGCGCCACACTAAGCAACTCAACTGGAGGCATGGACTGACAATGTGTCGACTAATGTGTCACGTAACTTGCCATACTTTCGTCGACTTAGCGCTGGCCATTTCGAGTGAAAATGACACGATCAAACAAAGGGATCGCTGTTGTGCGTTTTCTTAACGAATTGCTCCGATTTTTTCGATTGGAGCTTACCAAATGGGGCCGAACCGCAATCGTCGACTCCTACCAAAACCTATCGTATCGCTGATTTCAAGAGAATGCTGACAAGATCGACAATTGAACTACGATTTTAAAGCAAATCAATTTAATTGACAGTACATTATTAATGAAAGTTCGACTACCATTCTGAAAAAAAAATCGCTGGAAAGAGGATATGAGGATGGAGTCGAAGGAACCTTCAACATCTTTCATCATATTATAGAGCAACGAATTTCGTAGACACAACCCGAGATCAATTACGTGTGAATATTGCACTGGAAATTGTTAGTATAATCACGAAATGAGCCGTGAAGAAGTAAGAAAAGTAGTCGTGAAAAGCGCTGAAAATCATGATTTCTCCTTTTAGCGACCAATGAGTCTGTGAAGGACACGGAAGTGACACGACACCAAAGAGACGGGGACTCTTAGAGCGAGAAACGAACTCAAACTGAAGACGATCATAGAGGACAAGCGGATTCGCACCGCGAAAGCTGTCTAGAAGTCAGAGTGCGCATGCATGGAAGCCTATGAGGGCTCGCCATTGATTTAACGACGCCCGTGGAGCATAAAGGTTTGCTACATCAGGGAAGACATGACGGTCCACTACCTGGTTGAGTAACAAAGCCCTCCGAAGGCTGAAATCCTTTTTGTCATGTGCGTTGCTTTTTCACAGCATACGCTTCGTTATTTGTGACACATGAAGTGTAGTCAGCGAAGATGAAAGCAACGATCAATGATGGATCAGTAGAACGACTCTATGAAAGCTTCCCATTGAGCCACACGAGAACCTGTTCGAAAAAAAAAACCAATGCATAGAACGAGATGTTTATGGCTATTGACTTCGTGATGCATCCGGAACCTGACGTACAAAGGGCAGTCAGAGAACAATTGGCGCGTTTTCTGAGACATCAAAAACTGTATCTCATGAAAAGAAGCTGTCCTATTGTACACACATATGAACGAGGACTGGTTCGCACTAACGAAGTCGCCATATAAATTAGTGTTAATCAGTTAGGTGGGCATGACGCCACGCCTTTCTTCATTCACGGTTGAACTGCTGAGCACTTGCTGTCTTTTAACTCGAATTCAGGAGTCGAGATATGTATGTTGAGCGTAGGGCTTTGGCAAAATATACGCAACTCATTTTGGGGCTGCGCCCTGCACTCTGTTTCCCTGTGAAAAGGTAAGTCACATGATGGCGTGTATTAGCTGTGCACAACAAGTTTGTATAGAATAAATATCTCCATATTCGCTTACCGTCCGAAAAATGATTGAAATCGATTAACTGGAAGGGGCTCAAGATGCGCATGAGATCGAATTTTTACTCACAGACTGACCAGGCGCTGGGGAGCGATCG